ATTTCAGATTAAATTTATTCTCTAAAAGAATTAATATGTGTAATCGTCAGACATTTTATAGAATGATCAAAATATCATATTAGTATACACACATTATTGAAAACGAGAATTTAAAGTATGTGAATCGGAATGTACGAAGTATAGTATTGTATATATACACACACACACACACACACGCGCGCGCGCGCGCGCCACACACACACATACACACATAAGCAAATATATATTTGGAAATAGAAAAAAAATATACGATGCATATAAATTGTTTATTAATTAAATACATGTGAGAAGAGCATAAGTGTGACTTGTATTAGCTATTTTCAAATGGAAATTTCCTTATCAATATCATAGTCGTCACATACCAGTGTTCATACCTTTGGTGGAGGTCTGGACGGCAGCGGCTCCGTGAGCTCCATAAAGTCATAATGTTCATTGGCGCATAATATTAATGCTTCTGAGGTATTCTTTTTATGTAATAGTATCACATAAATCTTCTTCCTATGACGTAGATCACTGAGATCAGCGGCGAAATTCACATCGCCAGATATTAGAATTATGGCCGCCGGGCTGCCATGAATGTCACCAAACCTTCTAATGGACTGCTTAAGCTTCTCATCTGCAGCATTCTTACATGTAGCAGCTACATGTATTAGATTAACCTAACAGATACAGAATAAGCAATTTAATATTAAGTATTATCAATAGGATTATATCATATGTTCTTGAGCTTTACCTGAGCATCGTTCAGTTCCTGTACGATTTGACTATTCTCCTTTTGAACATCGCAAACTACAATAAATTCGGCCTCTCTATAACCACTAAAAAATTTATCTCTAATTAATTGTGTAACTGCTATGGCGGATCTACCTTTAGGAACCTATAATGCATTAATATAAAATATTACTTCAAAGATTAGAATAGAGAAGTATTTTCCTTCGAGTGGATCATATTGTACCTGACAATTCTCAATATCCCAGAATACACCAATGGGTGGAAGATGATTCTGTATACTCGGTACTTTAGCTGGGCTATCATGATGTAGAAGAGAACAATCATGTCTACAGTAGCTGAACGGAGAACTAGATGCCTTAGACTCTACGTTAGAACTACTGTTGTTTTCAAGTTTATCGTCGCACAGCAGGCTATTGGGAATCGGAGACAAGAGCTTTTGTGCGGATAACAGTTGTATCAGCTTTTCATTAAGGCCCTCGATCTCGTCGTTATCTTCCGCACAGAATGTACGGTAATCTGGAGATTTCTCACCAGCCATGTGTTTCACAAGTTATTTTGTAGAATTCCAATGTATAGGCTGAAATTTAAATTAAACATGAGATGAAGATCTTGCAGCAAGTTTTGACAGGAACTTGTAGGAATACAGCTGCATACAATTGATCAATTAAGTAATACATATTGTATACACAAAAATATTTGTCGGTTTTCGCAAAAGATTCGCAATGACATTAAGTAGAAGGTGAAAGAAGACCTATGCATCTTGAACGCGCGTCGCGAACATAAATCTTTTTTGACAACAGGGACGCGTGTTTTCACGTCGAATTTCCGCTCGCATTTAAATCGCCACACGCGGATACGCGTGGCTAATTTTAATCTAGAATTAATCAAAAAAAAAAGAAAAGAAAAGAAAAAAGGATGCGAGGGAGACATTTGGCGCGGTTTACCTGAGAAATTCAGCCATCGTTCCACCGTTGCTTCCTATGCAACGCGCAGCATCGAATAAAAACGCGGCAACCGGCACGATGAAATATCGAGTAGATAAAACATTACGGAGGAGATTCACAGGCGTGCACATAGTTCGGAAAGATCCATGCTCGGATAATATTCGTGAAAATCGATCATGTGAATTTGCGAGACGTGCAGCTCCGTAATTTTTCTTTTATTACCATGTACGTTCTTTCTATTCTCTCTCTGTCTCTCTCTCTCTCTCTCTCTCTCTCTCTATCTCTCTTTCTCTCTCTCGCCTTTATCGGTCTCCCTCTCTCTGCATTCGTTTTCTTGCGCGATGCAAAACATGCTTAAGGCTACATTTACATTATGTAATTGATAAAGATTTGTCCAGAAATATTTGCGTATACAGTTTTAGGAAAACTTAAGCAGTAAGGAAATCAACGTTGTGGATTTGCTACTGCTTATGTTACTGCCTTATGTTCTCGATTGTGATTGGCTAATTCGCTTACTGTTTAAATTTTCTTGTGTGCCATGGCCCTTAAAATTCAGCAGCTAATCTATGCAATTAATATTTATTTATAGCAACGAAAAACTAAAAATTAAAATCCATCGCAATCGAATATGTTATTAGATGTTTTCGAAATTCCATCCAATCGTCGGAATATATATAATTATATAATATTTATTATAAATATAATTACTCTAATATATTATATCATTATAAATATAATAAGTACTTAAATATAAATATCATTAAATACATGATTCTGTGCCAATTGGAATAGCTAAGATTATAATTGATTATAATTGATTGAAAGATTATAATCCAATTGATCAAATCTCGTTTCTCATTTCGCTATCTTCGATTTTCAACACAGCAGGAATGCCAATATCAACAGTGAAGGAGGAAAAGATTTCGGTCGTTGGCAACCATGATGTTAGCAATGTCTGTCGCGCCTTATTGATGTTCGTTATTCGTTATTCTAAATCGTCATTGATTGTCATCGAATAAATTTTTATTGCGTTCTTATTTCTCATCAGTGTTATAAAATAAGTTAAAGCGTCCCATATCATTTTATTGTTTCATGAAGATACGACGCAGCTATCATGACAACCGCATTGTATTTGGAGCATTATCTCGATAGTGAGTGGTGTTAGACATAAACTATTTCTTTTTTTCTATTCTTTTCCCTGTTTTTCTGTTCTTTTCTTTGTTTTTTTTTCCGAAAAAAAAGAGAAAGTGAATTAAAAAGGCATTCTAACAAAATACGTACATATTCTTATTTCTTACTTATCCCTCCTTTCCTCCCCTTCAGGTTTTTGAACTTTTTATCTGCATGTGTGAATGGCAATATTACTTATGTATCTTTTTAATGAAAATATAACAATACAATTTAAATTCTGTTTTTTTAAATGCTTGTTTTCTTAATTGTTGTAACATGTTTTCTAAAAATTCTAAGAATTAAGAATTTTAAATACCTAATTTTTTGTTCTAAAAATGAATGAAGAGGAAAGAAAGAAGAACCTTTATTTTTCTTTTCTTTCTGAATCATGTTCCAAAATTCATTGACAGTAATGAAAATATATAGTTTGATATAAATTTTTAAATGATAAATTTTGGAGCAGTTTGAATTATTATTTAAATTACCATGTTTGGAATTTTCAATTTTTATACAATCAAGTTTTTTAAATATTGAATCTGATTTTTATAACCAATTGAACTTTAGATTTAAAATTTTTTCTGCTTTTTTTACTTTTATCTTAAATGTAACACATTTATATAGGTCTTGAGCATTTGCCAATTGAATTACAAAGGAATTTTACACTGATGCGTGACTTGGACGCAAGAGCACAAGGTTTGATGAAAGATATTGATAAGTTGGCAGATGATTATCTGAAGAACATAAAAAAGGAATCATCAGAAAAGAAAAAGGAGCAACTTGCTCATATACAGAGCCTCTTTAACAAGGCTAAGGAATATGGCGACGATAAAGTTCAACTAGCTATACAAACCTATGAATTGGTCGATAAGCATATTAGACGATTGGATTCAGATCTAGCAAGATTCGAGGCAGAGATACAAGACAAGACTTTGAATAGCAATAGAGCTCAAGAGGAGAGCAATGCCAACAAAAAAGGTAGAAAGAAATTGAAAGAGAAAGAGAAGAGAAAGAAAGGTAATGCAGCGAGCAGCGAGGACGAAGCCAAGAATGCTAGAAAGAAACAGAAGAAAGGTATAACAAAATTATTACAATTGCAACTTTTTATTTATAATTTTGTCAATTAAATATTAAGTTCATTATGATGATACATGTATGTATTTCTTGTTCAGGTGGTTCTGTAGCTTCTGCTTCGTCCACTGGCGCTGTAGGTAGCAGTGCTCAAGTAGATGCAACGGCCCTTGGTCATCCGGCTGATGTCTTAGATATGCCTGTTGATCCTAACGAGCCGACTTATTGTCTTTGCCACCAAGTATCATATGGAGAAATGATTGGTTGTGATAATCCAGATGTAAGTTTTTTTATATATTAATAATCGCTTAATTACTTTTTATTGTTTCGAGATTCTTGAATTATAAAAAAAACGTATACATGTAAAAGTCATTCATTTACAATTGTTAATTAATATGGCAAATTTTGAATTTGAGAGCTCCTTTTAAAGCAGTCTATTAAAAATTAATCACAAGATTAAAATAATTAATAATTTGTTAATCATAATTTGTTTCTTACATTTTAGTGCCCCATAGAATGGTTTCATTTCGCTTGTGTAGGCTTAACGACAAAACCTAAAGGAAAATGGTATTGTCCCAAATGTACGCAAGATCGCAAAAAAAAGTAAATCTTAGGAAAATTTAAATTTATTCATTATCCATTTAAAAAAAGACTACACTGTTTCTATGATTAATACACAATTTTGTCATATTGAAAGTAAACCAATTTTTATATAAAAGAATCATAATAAATTTATGACAAAAGTGGTTATGAGAAAAAGAGAGGAAAAAACTGCATTTTCATTGCGTTTAACATTGATGCCGAGACAATTTTTTTTTATGTTTGCGGAAATATATAAGAATAAATATATGACACACAAATGTGAACAGTTATTGCTAAACGAATCGTAAATGTAATTTCTCCAGAAATATTTTTTTAAATATTGTCCAGTATTATTTACTATACATTAATATACAACAATATTATTACGAATATGAATTTCTTCTAGATATTAGAAAGAGTTTAGTTATGAAGATAATTAAGAATTT